GGAAGAGAAGCGTCAGCAGGTGAGTTCATGGCAAATTATCGTGAGTAGAGGGAAATAAGTAACTAAGCACGAAAATAGGGTCATTAGAGGGAATCTGTAAGAGTTTTGGTACATAACTCCTATAGCTCCGAAAATGTCGCGCACAACAAAATTAAGAATGTTCATCTCATTTAAATGTCAGAATGAATAAAAATGACTGGAACCTCTTGTAATTGTGTCCAGGAAGAAGACGCCAAAAAGAAAGCCCAGGAGGAGGAAGATGAACGGAAGAAGGAACTTGAGTTGTTATTGGCCAGATCTACATCGCCAGCGTTTCTAAATGGAACACAGGGAAGAGCTGATTGCACCTGCATGCCAAAGGCTAACCTTCCATCGCACGACGACAATGAGGTACGTTTGAGCTACGGGAAACAAAATGTCTAGTTGCGTGGTGCGCTGCAGGTCAAATAAACTTTATTATTCAGGCCATCACCAACAACCACCATCAGTACGAATCTGTGAGTCTACATTTACATGTTCAAAACTGATTTTGCAATTGTGCTATCTAGAAAATTCTTTCTTGCAGACAGAAGGTCAGAAGAACAAAGAAGACAGCAAACTGCTAAATCCTTCAGTGAACACAGAGCGTCGAATAGTTCTCGCTTGTCACTCATCTCCAATTCACTCAAATGAATATCGAGATCGTTCAAAAAGGTTCATTAATTTTCTTTGCTTCGAACCCGCTTTCTTTCCTTGTTTCTGAGTGTACGCAAGAGAAAGATAACCCTTTAGATTGAACAGGCACACTTCATTGGTTCTTTGCGGGCAAAACGGTGGCCCAACGCATCGACAACGTATTCATAGCTGGAGTGGATTATGTCAGCATTTCAATCCACAATGTCCTATCCACGGACGTCGAGCACTTCTGGAAACATATGCTCGGGAAAAGTTTATTGAGGTACTGAAATTTTGGCAAATTCCTTCAAAATAGCGAAGAATTCTATAGAATTAAGTAAGGCACAAGGATACTTCTCAGGTGCTCTATTGTAATTTCTTTGCCTTATGGAGAAATAATAACCGTCTAGTGCAAATCAGTGCTAGACTTTCTTTATTTCATCAAAAAGAGGGAGAAAAGTCGCGGCAGATTACCATTTATCAAATTACACAGGCTGCTTGAAGAATATTTGCTGCCTCAATATTTCACAGAACTTAATTTTAAGGAAATTTTCCGCAGTTTTTGTGTACTCCTAAATGTGTTACTCTATTTTTAACCTGTCAACAGTCACACGCTGCATTTTGGTTCTTATTACAGCTTTCTCTCAGATATGAGTGCTTACTTCGCATATTTACATTGCAACAAAGAATTTTGATTTTAAAGGTCTTGACAATGACTGAGGCTATTTTGCGGGGAGAGGGCTTGAGAGAAAGAAAAGTAAAAAAGAGAGTGAGAAAGGGAGGTTTTGAGTTTATTACATGGGATTCTTCTTGCTATAATGCACATCTTCGTTCTTATCAGTTTTGGCTAACATTTCGTGTTTTCCATCCAATTTGTGAGATTTCCTTTAACTGAAGGTGCGCTTGCTTGGTCGACTTGCATCGCTACCTCAATACAGACAATGACATTACCTAAATGGCTAGTCCTGTGTTAATTTATGCAGTGGAACTTCGCAAGACTTGCATAACTCTTCGCCGTTTATCAAACCTAAGAACAGCTCAGAACAAAAGTTGAAAAGAAGTGTTTTGTACTTGCTGCGCAATGACATCCTGCTGTACCCCCACAAATTTTTTCAAGCAAGAAGTAGTGGGTGTGATCTTGATTGATATTTCTGATTTGTAACTTTTTAGCTTGTTTTCGGCTTACATCGCAACAAATAATTCAATCCTCATTTGTATTTCATGCTCTGCCATTCACATTATTCAGCTTCATATGCGCGCACCCTGTACATATTTGAAAAATCGCCTTGAAAATTTTAAAAACTATATGAATATAAGCGTTTAAAATGCTCAAGATTCAATGTTCTTATTATGCAATTACCCTTTTATATAGGCTAGCCAGGAGCTGAAACAAGCACTAGCGGAAGAGGAAAGACGAAATGAACAGAAGCAAAACACCTGCTTTCGGAGGCTCCTTCGGAAAACGTGCTTATACAAAAAGGCTGAATATTCGCTTTTTTGTTTCGGCCCGAAAAATTCATTTCGAATCAGGTAGGTTGGCTTACTGCAAAAATAAGGTTGGAGAAAATGTCTTTTCTGGTTGATTAAGAGACATTAAAAAGAAAGAGATAATGTTAATTCCGGGAAATGGTTCAATTATCAATACAGTTTTTTTGCTACTTCTGCCTAACGAGCATTTTGTCCTGCAAAGACAGAAAA